ACGGCAGAAGCAAGGCTTAGAACTCATTTTGACGATAAGGCTGTAGCTAAAGCCACCACGACAAATCCCAAACTCCGTACCTGTGAAAGGATCGGACAATGCAGATGTACGGGGAGGGGGAATCTTGCTTCCTGTACGCTTCGTTGTATGGGAGCATGGAACACGCGGGGGCGTGGGGTCCGTCTACATTCCTCGTGCCAGATGTGAAGAAAAAGGTAAAGCAGAACGAACAAGGTAGATAGATACAGAGCATGAGCCAGCGAGACGGCAAACGCCAGCCAGGCGGGTGAGACGCCGACGGCATCCAAGAACTTGGAGGACTTCGCTGGCATCCCTACACCCACTGCTATGCGCCGCAGCGACGAGCGAGGCACGTCCTACGGGCGCGAGGTTGGTGATCTTTGCGCGCGTTCAAAGTTACTTGCGCCGGATTGGCTTTGGCTGTTTTCCTCAACAATATGAAGCGCTCGCTGCACAAAAGTTTCTGCTAGGGGACAGAGACAGCAAGAGTTTGCTGTGTTGTACGCACCCGACGATTGCAGAAAGTGAAATTGCGAGGTGGTCCCAAATCCATCCAGGCAGGCTATGGCAGGCTCAAGATTGCTTAGTTCCTGGTACTACACCCTAAGCCCTAAGCTCTTGTCATTCTCGAACCTATTCGCGTGGCTTAATTGCAAGGCGCAGAGGCCCAAGCTCTGCAGGAAGAAGTCGGCAGGCCGGTGGAGTCGGGTAGAACTGTTGAAGGGTTTTCGGTCCTTTACGTAGGTCATTAGGGCTCTGCATGTGTGGGTTTAGGGTTAGGATTTCGGGCACTGGGAACCTGGATGTAGTTCAGCACCATATGCACCATATGACGCCTCACAAACATGGACTGCCGGCATGCGTACATGCAGCCCCACGGTCCGTTTGTATGTGTGCAAGCCCTCACCCGACCTACTCGCATCCTCCAAAGGCTCAAGGCGGCATTGGAAGAGAGCCAGAAGAGGCGTCTCCTTTGTGGTGTCTGGGGTGGTTGCCAGTGATTTGGGGCTCGGGGGAGCTTCAGGTTCATGTTTCGGGGGTAGCCTTTGAGTGAATGAAGCTTCCGGGGGGTTCGGGTGAAGTGATTTGTTCGTTTATTGCAGTTTGGGCAGATCCGGCTTTGGGTTGCTTTGTTGCAGGAGTCTAGATATGGAGCTTCTTGAGCACAAGCCTCGTAGTCCCTCAGCTAAATCACCTCAAGGCTTCTGGCACAGAAGCGCTCCCGAAAGTGGCCACTTCCTCATGCTTGGTTATATGATACGCATGATGTCCCTGCAGATTCTTCCTATCATGCCCCTGCCAAAGGCCTCAGTGTTCCAGCACTCAGTGTTCCGATGGGTCTTATGCAAGCCCGAAGCAAGTGAGTGTTGACGCGGACAGAAATTCTGCATCTTGGTGTTAGGTGACCTTAAGGACAAGCCCAAAAGGATAAAGTGCTTGCTTTGGAGCTTGCCCTTCGGAGTCGGAGAACCTTCGCTTAGCTTCCTGGTGGCTGGCAGAGCTTCGAAATCAGGGCTGTGACCTTGCAAAGGCCCTTAAGTCGGATTGAAATTTTAGATCTTGGTTCTTGGCGCTTGTTTCTTGAGACAAACTTCGTCGTGGGTCTGGCATAGCTCAACGCCTCGACCCCACTAGCCCAGAAATTGCCAGGTGTGCGGAGCTGGAGCCCCTAGCAAGGCAACTGCAGCACAGCCAAGAGAAGGCCAGCTTTGCTGCATTGCTGTTCTCCATATTTCGCTTCGAGGTTTAGGGGGTACAACTTCTGCTGTGTTTCAGAGCTGCTATTGTGCTAACTCTTGCAATCGGGAATCAGCCAGAACTAAGTGAGAATCGAGAGCACGCAACGCGCCTGGTTTTGCGACATGAATGCCTGTGGCAGACCATCTATTGCTATTTTGCCTCAAAGCCCCAACCATCCCGAACACTTCGCAGGTCGAGATGCTAGAGCAGGCGGCAAGGCCATCGAGGGGGATGTGAGTTCCTTTCTTCAAACCCAACACTCGTTACAATCATCATGTTAATCCGAAGCTCCTGAGTTGAGGAGTTCTGATAATTTTGGGCTGCTGTACGTTCTGGCTGAATCGAGATCTTGTTACTGTTAAGACTGGCCAAGCTCCGAGGTTCAGCACCGACTGCGAATATTCTTGTTGGCTCTCACAGAGCCGCGAACTCTAGCTGCCGCTCACTGTCGCTCCTCACTTGAGAACTGGACTCCGAACTGCCAGACTGAACATGTCTGAATCCGCCCGCCGCCCGCCCTGGTTAAATGAGTTGTCCCCGTGCCCGAATACCCAGCAAAAGCCTGAACTGAAAGGCTTCTTCCCAACAACTGCCCCTGAATCTCCATTTGCCAGGAACCAGCAGCAGGTTTTCCAGGCCCAAATGGAGCTCATGGACAACGTGCGGAGCCAGCACCAGGCGGCCCTTTTGTGTGGGCCCTTGTGCAGGGCGCGTTGTTGGGTTGAAGGGGTTGAACAAATTTTCACAAGTTTCAGGTTGAAGGTGGGAGTGTAGCTACAGCCCGTAAAGTCACTGCTGGTCGGCAGGGTTTGCAAAGTTGACTTCAGGACTTGCTACAGATCAGGGGTCGAGGTGTGAGGAAGTTTAGGAAGCTTATGGTTTGGAGCCGACGGTTTGGAGGGTTCTGATTGTGGTCAATTGGTCGACGTGAAAGTGTACGTTTCATTCTGCTCAGATCCTGTCTTCAAGAGTCCAGGATGCTTCAGACTTTTCAAAACCATGCGGTTTTTTGATTGCAGGGCTAAGATGAGGTTCAGGCTTTAGTCTATGTCCATGTGTATCCGTGCCACGATGCCCACTATCACTTGTCCAAGGCTATCTAAGGCGAAGCCCTAGACTGAAGCTTCCTCCCCCATCCCATCAATCTACTAAACTTCCTAAACTTCCTGGACTCTCCCCCCAAATCGCGAAAATGTCCCATGGAGGTGCAACTCCAGGAGCGGGATAGTGTCGATCAGCAGAGGGGGCGATATGTTGGCAGCTACATCACAGCACTCACTTTGCTGCCTAGGGGCCTAGAGACCTTTGGATTTGGGAGCCTTCTCCCCTTCCGCCTTCCCGAAACCTGGGGCCCGAATATTTGTTTGAGCCTCCATTTCCTCCTTTCCTGCAATTTCAGTCGGTTTAAGGTTGAGGATTTAGGCTTGCTAAGTGGGTGGACAACCATCCGCCATCTCAATCTTCGAAAACCATCCGAAAACCTGCAGTGACGGCGCGTAGTCCTCCGCCACCCGCTTGTGAATATTCTGGGCGTGTGTTTTTCTGCGAATGCTCAGCTTTGCTGTACATGACTGCACTTAACTCTCCGTTCCCCCCCCGAAGCACCATGCAGCCGACCCCACTGATGATGCTAAATGGGTGGCGGCGAAATGCAAAAGAGAAACTTCAGCCGAAGCTGCCGGAACCCTGCTCCATGACTCTGCACTCTTCATGAGGAGCTCCGTGAGCGGATGGAGACCGAGCGCCAGCTTGTGGCAGAGAGGGCAAAGGCTGAGACGGAGGTGCCCCTGGCATTGACATTTCCTGGCTGGGAGATCTTGCGGGCTTTTGTTGGTGGATGGTTTAGGGCCTGTGGCTTCAGTAGGTGCATGGGGCCATGAGGCTTCGGATTTTCTGCGCCAGCCCTTTTGAAGGCTGAACACAATCATTCCACCGATGGGTGCACGGATGGTGGTGGGCATGCTGTTACACATACGGGCATGACTTTCGCGACGACGTGCTGGCTTCGAAATGCCGTAGACGTGCAGGTGAAGATCAGAGAGGTCGAGCAGGAGGCATGGAGAGAGCCATTGTCAAGAGCTGACTTGCTTGAAGTTGCGGGGTGCCACCACTCCTTCCCAGTCCCTGTGTGTACCAAGCGGTACTTGCCGGGAACCTCCAACCAAGGTTTAGTTGCTTATCTGATGATCATGGCAGGTTGTCCTAGATCACGGCCCCCTTGTGGACACCCTTTCGAACCCTCTAAACCCTCTACTAGCCCCCCTAACAAACAAGTTCGTTATTGGACGAGGCCTCGCTCAAGCAGCGCGAGGCCGAGCTACGTCTGGCAGAGCTCCAGGCAGGGCTTCCAGGGTTGAGGGGTGGTTTGGGTGGTTGTGTTTTGTTGGGTTCAGAGGGATCTTGGGGGTCAAAGTTTTTTTTTTTTTTTTTTTTTTTTTTTTTTTTTTTTTTTTTAATAGGGTCAGGTTGGAAAACAGAGAGCTTTAGGTTTCAGCACATTCCGCACCCTAAATTGCCCTAAACCCTGCGCCCTGTGACTCAGAGGCCCAGCTCCAGCAGGCCAACCAGGAGGCACAGCAGGCGGCGACCGAGGTGCAGCGCCAGTTGACGATGCTCGGGCGCCTTTGTCGGTTTGGGAGATTAGAGCATTGGATGTTGGAGGCCTGGATTGCGGGGTGTTGTCGGTCAAGTGAGTCAAGTGAGTCATATTGGTTTTGGTTTTGAAGTGTGACCAGCTGGCAGACTGCAGCGGGCGCCTGACAACAGAACTCTGAGATGATTGTTTCTTTTCGCCTCGTTGCTTCGTCAATTGCTGATATTGCTCTGTCCTTTCCGGCTTCTGAGTAGTTCGGGGGCGCGGACGCGCTGTGCTCATTCTTGCATATGTGCAAGAGCCGTAAGGAGATCAAGGTGCAGAATGCGGATCATGCTAGTGCGCTCGGGGATCAGGCTGTATACGTGCCCGCACACGCGCCCCCTCCCCCGCGCCCGCTCGCTGTCTGTCTGTCTGTCTGTCTGTCTGTCTGTCTGTCTGTCTGTCTGTCTGTCTGTCTGTCTGTCTGTCTGTCTGTCTGTCTGTCTGGTCTGTCTGTGTGTGCTAGTGAGTTCATTTTGTCGTATTGTTTTCTCAAAGCGGCCCATGCTGGTCGCAGAAAAGCCTTTGACCGGAGCTGCTGGAAACTGTTCGGACATTTCCTGTTTCTGATGTTGATGCGATTGTTTGGTTACATGGCCGCAACATGCTGCCCAGGAAAAGCCTGACGTCAGGGCTGGAGGCCGAGGACACTGACCTCAGCTGCTTTCATTTTCAGGGCAGAGGGTTCAGGTGCAGGCCCTTGTCAGCATGTCCACATACAGTCACACGCTACACGATGCTACATGCATTTGCGACAGGGCACGGCTCGAAACTGAATGGAGCAACCAGTGGGATGGCTCCACGATATGTACCAGCCGAGACTCCGCTGGAAGGGGTCCGCGTCTTCGTCGATGGCTTGCAGGGCGATTTGCGTGCTCGCGGCCTGCAGGCGGCCGACAGAATCCAAAAGAATAAGCCGGCGACGGTGGGCAAGTTGGATGCAGAGCTCAACGCAGTGGCCGATGAGCTTGGGGATGAGGCAGCCGTTGAGGTGACACCGGGGCCCCGGCAGGGCATTGTGTGCGTCACACTCCGTCCGGAGCATGGTTGCCACTTCGCCTTCAGGGCCGGGCGCGGCAGGCAGGAGCCAGTGTTGCCAGGGTCCAAGCTGTCCCTGAAGCTCGATGGGACACCTGCTGCAGCTAGTGGTCCGCCTCCCCTTCGCGTTTCCGCCGAGGGTGCGTGGAATGTCGATCAAGATGGCCTGGGCGGATGCTTGACGGTCACACCTCTATTTGGGAACGGTGCCTGGCGAGTCCTCCCGAGCCTGGAGGCGGGCGTTGGCCTCGGGGGGCTCTTCGGCCTGATACGCCCAGCTTCCCAGCGCAGCTACCTACAGGTTCCCTGTCTCCAGAAGGTTCGTATAGACCCTCGCAGCCCGGACAGCGCCGTATTCGCCATAACACAACTTCACCCGTTATGTTAGCTGCTCGCCCCTGTAGGCCTATTGAGCTAATGCAGCCACGAACCACAATTTGCCATTGAGGTCTGCCTGGCAGATCCGCTTGGGAGGCACAAGGTTCGTTTGGGCGTCTCCTCCCGGGAACTCCGGTCGCAGGAGGCGCCTCTCTTGGAACTGCCACTGCAGTCTTCCAAATCATCGCTATCCTATCAGTTTTTGCTCCTTGGGCGTGCAACTTTGCAACATTTTGCAACCATGTCAGCTTGCGGGCGGCACCGGACTAAACTGTCTCGAAATCACGAAAGCTAGCTCCTTGGAGCCTGCGGGAGTTCTTGTTTACAGCCTTGTTGTGTTGGGGCAAAATCGAGGTGGCATTTAAAAGTCACACTTGGGGTCGGGAGCCCCCTCCCGCCTCTCCATTTCCCGATTGATCAGGAGGCATCGATGCACGTTGTCTTCCTGATTAGGTGGGGTCACAGTCACCGTACACCCAACATGCAAACCCCACAAAGCCTTAACCCTCCACACATATCTGTAGCACTCGCTTCGGCAGCTGCAAGTTCGGAGTGCTAGCTTTCGTCCGCCCTGCTCTCAAGTGCCAAAAGCCCCAGGAAGAGCCATGGAAAGGATGATGTTGGTGGCCAGCTGGGCTCCGTCTGTGAGATCGCCGGCCTGCTCGGTGACGTAAAGGCCGCACAACGGTTTTTTGCACAAAAGGGCGATAGCGTTTTGTGAGTCGTTTCGGAAATTTGAGTGGCTTGGGGGCCTTGCAGGAGCTAATGATAGCTAATGTCTACGTTTCAGCTGCAAGTATGGAAACGTGCGTGCTCCCAGGTGTTTCGTGCTCAATCGGCTTGGACACGCTGGGGTGCCTTCATGGGCGCCGCGTGGCAGGCATCCAAAACTCGGTTCTGAACGAGCTGACCCCACACAATCCCGATTCGCAAAGACCTTATGCGAACCTTGTTTGGGGCTGTAGGCTGTGGTTTGAACAAAAGACGTCCGTAACACCTAAACACATCTAACATCCTCTAACCGTCTGAAGCTCTCTGGAAGCTGAAAGCCTCTCTAAGCCTGCGCCCCTGTCAGGTCTCGGCCAGCGCTGGCCATGCCGTGCCGCTGACTGCCGAAAAAATTCCCTGGGAGGAGCTTCAATGAAGCCTCTGAAGCCCGTTTAAAGGCTTCTTTTTAAGGCCTTATGGTGATCTTGGAGCATCTAGGTTGTAGGGTTTTGGCTGGTAGGCTGAACCAGGCCATCAATCAAGCGTAGGGCGACGTGATTTCGTGTGGGTTGATATGCCCTGGAAGCCTCCTTGTCCCCTGCACCTCTTGGGACACCTTATCTGCCAGAAGCCCTTCGAAAAGTGCCAGAAGCCCAGAGAAAGCCCAATCAGGAATGTTAAGCGGCTAGCGTAGGTTGCAGACATCACCCGCCAGGAGCGGTTCTTTCTGGGCGGCGTCTTGGGGCAGGGGCCGGGGGAGACTCCGCAAAAAAGCATCTTGGGGTGTAGGGTCTCGAATGGTGGTTCCCAAGTCACATTGAGGGCTTTTGCGGAAATTGGAGCTTTAAGTGCCCAAAAAGAACACGTGCGGCCTCTTGAGCGCGATAGAGAAGAGCATTGAAGGGATCGGAACCGTCTTTGTAGATCTTCGTGGCAACCCTGCGCCGCCTGCTACTAAACCCAAAAAGCTGAACCTATCCAAAGCCTGAGAATACGGGCATTGAGGTTCCGGCAAGCGTGTTCACGGCCCCAAATCCCCAAGACCCGGGCTCCTGCAGTCCAGACCGCAGCCCTAAAGGAGCTTTGCCCGCATCCGATGTCTGAAGCTTAGGAGGGCTGTCAGCCTTAAACGACCCTACCCAGCTTTCCATGCCCTCAATCCCAGTACCCGAAGTGAGCCTTTCTGAATCGAACCCCCCCAAAAGCCGTTCCTCCTTGCGCCTCGTTCCAAGGAGCGGCTCCTGGGCTTCGGACCCCATGGCTTGGGCCCTGCCAAGCGTGAGGAGCGCACCACGGAGGCACGGCTGGGGAGGCTTTACGGGCATTTGAACAAATATGAACAAATTGAGGCAACTTGCAGGCAGACCTGACAGTTGTTGGAATTTTCTCGGGCTGGATCAGATTTAAGGCTTGTTGTTGGGTTTCTGTCTGTGAGATAGATGCTCTTGAAGAGTTTCAGGATTTTGGAGGTTGTGTCCCGGGTTGAGGGGGAGTGCATAGATTTTCGGGAAGTTCCAATCGCTGAGACCCGAAGTACCCCCAACCTCACATGTTTCTCAAAGCGCCCCCAATGCCCAGACTTCCTAAACAGTACAACAACCCGGCCAAGGCCCCACGACTTGGCTTGGTGAACGGCCTTGGCGGGCTCAGGACCTCATGGGTCGGCGGCTTCAACAAAGAAAGCCTTAAAAGTCTCCTTTTTGCAAGGGAGGGGTGAACCGAGTTTGATCAAAACTTGTTCAGAGTTCCCAAAGCTTTACACCCGCAGAAGATGCTTGAAGCTGAGCGGACTCACCCTCTTCAAATGCCGCGATGCTGTGACGGCGCCATGTCTCAGTAGTCTCAGTACACTTCGTGCTTCTCGAACTTCACTGCAGCGCTGGTGTACTCCCCTTGGAATTAGATAGAGAAATGTACCTGTACTCAACACCTTCGACATATGGGGCAGCTCATAGCTGCTTAGGGTCGTTTTGCGCTGACTTCGTGGCTAAGGAACATCCCGGCCCAAGGTTATTGCTCAAGGTCTGCGGTTGGCTGGGTTACGTGTCTCCATCTACATTGAGGCTTGTACTTTGTTTCAGGAAGTTTTCGAGACGGCCACATGACCACATACCAACACAATCCTGACTGCCTTGTAGCCCGACAGCCTCTCCCAAATTCTCAACACCCAGGCTGCATACTGTTCACGTACACCCCGAAATTACCAAAACTCTATTACTTTGTCACGACCGCGTGGAAAAAATGTAAACGGCTGTTCATCATGACAAAGAGGCCCCGATTTATCGTCACTTTTACGGGGATCTTGAGAGGACAAAAAAGAGAGATAAAGAAACCCTCTTGCATTTTGCATCGATTTGGTGTGGGCTCTCATTTTTACTGTCGATAACTTGCGCCCGCATCATTCAATTCTGTATTTAAGTTGTTCTAGTTGATAATCTTATTGTTTCCGCGACGAAAGGGTTGAGAGTTCGCACATCACAACGCTAAATGCAAAGGAGCAAAAGGACCGGTCGCCATTATCCGGGAACATTCATGGTTTAAGCGGCATATCTCTTGTACCTTTTGGTGAACAAGTGAACTACACATCCAATACAGCCCACGAATGAACAACCTTTTCCAGGAGCCAGACCGCTTTCGTCCTGTGCACCTTCGCTTCCCTGAGAACAAAGCATAGCATTTAATCCTGTCACATGGCGAAAAACAAAAAAAGTCAAAAGCACCTTGTAGTTCCTTTAGATTTAGTATGGTTTCATCCTGTAACCTTATCCTTCTTCTGTTTACTCGTTGCTGAATGGGCGAGTCTTGATAATGCGCGATAGAACATATAATACTGAGGAAAGTGCGCTACTCGGGCGGAACAAGCGAACAACAAGATCCCAAAAAGTTGGTTCTTTAGAGAAGGTTTTCGTGAAGCCTGTGCTTTTCTTCACGTTTTGCAATTTTCTGGCGCGTGCAAACCCAAATACTGAAAACACCCGTCAGCCAACAAGCCCCAGAGTCGTTCATCAGGGTTTCATTTCGGCTTTGGAAACCGAGGTTGACCAAGTAGCGCTTACAATTACAAGTGAGACCGGGAACTCTACGCGTTTAAAATCGCGCGAGATACTTTCAATGTGATCACAATCCTACCACATTATTCGCAGGCCTTAGTTGAGTTGGTTTCCTGGCCATTCTGATCCTTAACAAGGTTTAATGCAAGAAACATAGAAAGACTAGACAGATCAAGAACCATAAGGTTTCAAGAACATGTCAATGACATAGTTGCAGGTCATAAACATTACGAATTTCCCATATTCAAAAGTTTACAAAGAATTTTAGAGAGAGATCCATATCCGCAAGCTCATGCATCTTCACTTTTCCGCGCTGATCTGATTATATATATATATATCTATATATATATATATATATATATATTACATATATATATATGTGTGTATATTCATATGTATATTTATATGTATATATATATATATGTATCTATATATATATATATATTATAACTTTATTGGAGCGCGCAATGACTCCTTTGACTCCTTTGGGTTGTTTTGGGTTTTGCTTTTCAGGCGTCTTTGATCACAAATTCATTACGTTAATGTTGTCCGTGTGACAAGAGTTAGCAAAGGAAAAAGGCGAAAGGAATACCAGAAATAAATACTTCTATTGGCATTAAGGATTTCGGAGGACATAATATAATCAGAATACACAACACATAAATCCTATTAAAGAGGTCAAGAGCGTGAGCAACAGGGCCCTAGGTTTGGATAAGGCGACGATACTAATTCGGATGCATTAGTGGCTCTCAATCATAAACGACTCTTGGCGCATGACAATTCATTCAATCTGTGATGGTGTGCTTTTCCTTGAACCCGTAGACTTATAGTATATTTAAGGGCCCCCATGAATTACCGACCGATCCCTAGATAATTTTAAAAGGGAGAGAAAGAAAAGCTTTGAGGAGCGAAGGCAAGATACAAAAACACAAATGCTTATATCCTAGCGGGCCCACACCCCTCCGTACGAGGACCTACAGCACCTCGGAGCCTACCCAAGTCGAGACCGGCAAGATTGCCTTCCTCGGAGGGATCACGCACGCCAGCATGGAGGGTGGGGCTGAGGGCGGGGGGTTGGGGAGGAAATATCGTGTGAGATAAGGGTTCTCAGTGACAGCCTCAACTTCATACCCGCTGGACCTGCATGCTACATCCTTTTTGAGCAGGGGGGGTGTCAAGCAAAGGCCTACAGGTCTTTTTTGCGTGCCTGCACCATGCTCCGCATTGCCAATCTGGTGCGTGCACACGTCAG